TCCATCCAAGAACCAACGAAATCTAAAGAAGCCGACCCCACCCCTCCCAAGACAAATACTAACACTTCACTGTCAGCTTTTACTCCAGTTCGAGGACATCCCAAAAAGAGCTGGTCTTGGCCGCTTCTTTCCACGCCATCGAATCCTTTCGTTTTGTACCCAGGTTCCACTCCTAACAGCTCTAAGACAATGATCGTATTCCCGTTTGGTCCCAGTCCACCTGTGCACCATACATTACCGTTGCATTTGAAACGGGAACACGATGAACCTGTTGGTAAAATGATAACTGCTGAAGTTACTGCGATTCCGGTCTCGATCTTTCAGCGTGTCTAACGCACGTTGATATCGAGATTTAGGACACACCTCACAGCTTTTTTTCCATTAGAAAAAACAGGACTTAAAAACAGGACAACATATTTGATTAAAGTATCTTGACCTAAAGTCGTTTTACCTTATAACAGATTATTCAATTACTTATCCTGCTTATATATTCGTTTAGGCTCCTCCACTTTGAAGTAGTCTGAATAATAGAAAAATTGCCGTTAAGTTTTCCAGCTCGATGGGATAACATCGAGCTGAAAAGAGTAAGTCATCATCTCAGGTTATCCTTCCAATACTTTAAGGCTGACCAATATTTTATTCCAAAAGCGCTACGGTTAAAAAGATATATTTTCCCTTAAAAAAAGTATGTTTTTTAAAAAGGTGTAGAAAGTATTTTAGATTTTGCGATAAAAAGTCTGAAGACGTATTTTTTTTGTGTGTAAAACTTATTTTAATTTTGCAAGTCAAAAGCCTTTTTTTTTTACACAATGATGTAAGATGGAAATAAATTGATATGGTTTTTGACGTATATCTGCAAGTCTTCCCCTTGAAAGGACGTTCCAGCGACGAATATATCTCTGATTTGAGTAACTCCTTCGCGGCCTAGAAGAAACCCCGAGGCGTTACTGCCCAAAAATGATGCACGCGCAGAAACTATTTGCTTTTTGCGCCCGCAGACAGAACTTCTTCCTGGGGTCAATCGTGGTTAAGTGCAGGTCATTTATTTTATGATTCCTGGAGGCCGGAAGAACTCGTTCTGCAGTTGAGATTTTAAAACGCGGGACCTTCTTTAACGGGTTTAACTTCTTTGCTGTACTTTTCGGTAAGAAGTCGGAAACAAAATTAGAGTTGATGACAAAAGGCAAAAGCCTTTAACCTCTCACCGTTTTTAACCTTCTGATTTAATTCTGCCTCTAGGAAAAATCGATTATATAAATACTTTAAAATCTATGAGCCGTTGTTAAATAGCCTTTTATACCAAATTTACAACTATAATTAGCTTACACCGACACTCTTGGAAGAGTAACTTCCGGTTTTCGACATCCGCTTTCTGCTTCATTTTTTGTTTCTATTTCTTTCTAAAATTTTCCAAATATATACTTTTTTGTCTCAGTGTTTTTCTTAAACCAAATATAGCGCGTCTGTGTTAAACACGTCACCTTTTCTGTTTCTTGTGTTATATTTCGCTCTCACAGCTCAAATATTCAGGCCTCAGTTGATAGAAGCAAAACTCGATCTCTTGTGCCCAAAAACACAAAATTGTTATATCCAGCTTTTCTGGGCGTTTTCTACCGTTCAAAAATATAAATAAATAAAAAACACAGTGGAAAGTTTAACTTCCACTAACCGGAGGTGAATCGGAGGTGAAGATCACGACCTCCCTTTAGTATATTTGATATGGTGAGATTTA